TATATATGTATATATGTGTGTGTGTGTGTGTGGGTGGATATGCACTGGCATATTATGCTATAAGTTGTCGCGTAAATTCGTCAGGGGAGGCGCGCTGTGGGATGCGTCGCTAGGAGACACAGCTGGGCACGTACATGGTCACGCATGTGGATTCCCAGACATCGTTTGGGGTATCCCAGGAGTCCTTGTGATGCCACCATTTGCCAGTGTCCACATCGTAGGCCATTGTCTCCGAGCTGGCACGGTCTATGGACTCGGTCGAGTCCAGGCCACCCACAAAGATGATGGTGCGACGCATTGTGGTGACGCCCGAGTAGAATTTGGGTGCGGGTATTTTGGTCTCCACACTCCATGAATTGGTTGGGATGTCGTATGCGTAGATGTGCTCCACCAGCACTCGGGACTCGCGCATGGTCTCGTGCCAGCCGCCGCACGCATAGATGCGATTGTCGATGGCCACCAGGACGTGGTCGCAGCAGGGCGTGGGCATGGGGGCCAGCTCCTGCCAGCACTCGGTCTTCGTATCGAAGCACCAGGTGCTGGCCAGTATGGTGGCCAGGTGTATGCCACCTGTGAGCAGAGAGAAGGCAGTTAGCATACTGAGGGATTCGCCACAGCTTGACTCTTACCAGATATGTAGAGCTTCTCGCCCACCACGACGCCGGCGTGCTGGCTGCGATTCTCCTGGAGGCTGGGCATATAGGTCCAGGTGTTAGTGACGATGTCGTAGCGCTCCACATTGGACATGCGACGCAGTGCGTCCTCCGAGCTGTCCTCGTACTCCACGCTCCCGCCGACTGCATACAAATACTGCTTGCCCACAGCGTTGAGCGAGAAACGGCAGCGGTCCAGCTGAATGGGAGCTATGGTCACCCAGGAGTCGCGCAGCGGACAGTAGCGGAAGCCAAACGGATGGATGTACTCCTTCAGGCAGACGTCATAGGCGCCGCCCACTATGAAGAGCTCGTTGTTGAGCACGGCTGTGCCGAAATTACCTGTTGGGTGATGGATAATGAGAGACAATCGAAACAGACGAAGCTGATCCCGATGGGGATGACTTGATTGCTGCTCACATTGATCAATGTGCGGTATGGCGGTCAACTCGTACCACTTCATTTTGCTTGTGGAGAAGCACATAATCTCATTGGTGAGGCCCTTCCACTCGAAGCCGCCGATTTTGAGCAGACTCAGCTCCATGCCGCGCATATTTGTCGGACCCTGGCCTAGTCTCAGGCACAGATCGAGCGAGGCGTTGATGGTCTCCTGGCTGATGCTGGTCTCCTGCACCTTGGCCAGATACTCCTCGACCAGCGAGTGGTTCTGATAGCGCAGCGTCTTCATTTCCTCAGTGCTGATGAACTCCCATTTGATGAGGCGCAACAGTTCGACCAGTGCCTCCTCTTTCAGCTGCAGCTCGCAGCCGTAGCTGCACAGCAGACGCACCAGCTCCAGTTCGGGTATATCGATCGGATAGTTGCAGGAGAGTATATAGTGGAGCTGCTCCAGTTTCATTTCCTTGAAATCGCTGGTGGTCGCAAACTCCTTCAAGTGGGCGCAGATGTAGCGATAGGCGCGCTCGGCCAGCGCGAATTGGCCATAGATCTCAGCCATGCTGGCGATGGCCAGACAATTGTCCATGCTAATCTTTTGCTCCATGAAGACGGTGCAGCGATCGATGACCTCCTTCACCTGGACATGGGTGGCCGCGGCGAGCGTCTCCTCCACATTGTCCACGTTCAGCTCCAGCAGTGATGTGTATATATAGACTATGATGCGGCTCATCGCCCGAGCCGAGACGCCATACAGTGTGACCTCCTCCTTGCGCGACTCAATCATGGCACAGTCCGCGAACATGGCGCAGAAGTAATCGCTGCTGGCCGCCAGCACGACGCGATGAGCCTGCACGGACATAGAGAGATCAATGTATATCTAAGCTAACATGATTTGTGGCACGCACCTTGAAGCGGTGCCCCTCGACGATGAGCGTGACATCTGTGAGCTTGCCCTGGGAGCGCAGCCGGTTCAGGCCGCGCAACAGGCTCTTCTCGGCCTGCGAAACGGATGTGGACATCGTGAGCCTCGCTTATCAGCAGCAACGGGACGAGCGTTCCACTGGTTCCCCCGGACCTGGGCCCAAGCTCAATGTGATGACGATGACGATGATGATGGTGGTGGTGATGACAGTGATGGCGCCTCAATGCAACAGCATGCTCCAGTGCGAAGTGGGCAGCGACTCTCGATTGGGTTAGGGCGCACCAGTGCACACACACACATATATGGGAGGCAAGGTATGTCGAAGAGAAGAGAAACCAAAAGTAATCCAAAAAAAAAGACTAAACTAAACTAATGGAGTCTCCTGCAGCTGTGGGCGAGGGCGAGGGCGACGGCAAGCGGATTTCGATTCGCGGTTGAACTTTATGTTTACAGTAAATAAATCGACCAGCTGTTGCCTTATGTGCATGCGCAACATACACGCATATATATATGTATATATATATATATATATATGTATGGCTAATATGTGTGCACGTATGTGTGTATGTATGTATGTATATACTCCACTTGGTAAAATAATGAAGATTATTTTCCGTGGAATTTCGATCTTGCGCCCCTCACAGTCCACTGGGCCTTTTATTGTTGTTATTGTTGAATGTGAATATGAATTTGTAAAAGTAAATATTTAATATTGAGTGCTTGTTTTTGTATTTGTAGTTTGAGAACTGTTGCAACTGTCGTTTACATCAAATATTGCCTCGAGTCTCTTTTTCTTTTTGTATAGAAAGTGTGCGCTTGTTTATAGCTCTGACAGTGTGCGTCTGTTTCTGCATGTGTGTGTGTGTGTGTGTGTGTGTCAGTGTCAGTTGGCGTATATCGTTGTATATCAATAGTTTTAAGGTGTTGGATAACGCGCCGCCGCTGCGGCGAATCGTAAACAGCTGAACAGCGCTGCATTGCGGCATTTACCAACACACGCCTCTTGATTGCCACCACTAACCAGAGAACACATAGACCGGACAAGTAGTGTAAAGCGTTTTGCACACTTTTTTTCGGGAGTTATYTCCCAGACMCTTCGTATTTGCTCGGCTCCTCMMTTTTTGGGTTCGGGCTACGAAAAAATACGAAAGCACAATCATTTCGCTTCATGCGCTCGACCGAGATGGTCGACTGTTGAACAAAAGATCCCTCTGCGCTGAATGTTTCCCTTGCTCTCTCTCTCTCACGATGCTCTCTGCTCTCTCAAATATGTATATGTATGTATGCATGTGAGCACAAGCAGCGCTCACAAATTGAAATTTCTTCGCAGCGAGAGCCCATGCCTACCCTTATGTGTGAAGAGTATACCGAACTTTTCAAACCGTTTGCCATGCGTTTTCGTTATTATTTGTGGGAAGGGTATGAAAGCGTTGGTGCGCATAATGAAAATGTTTTCACGACGAGCATGCACACACACACTTACAGTATGCTACATGTACTATGAGCATTTGTATGCCTGTGTGC